AAAGAATTTTTCGTCAACCCTTGAGTTCAAGTGGCGTCGAACGAGGCCCTAAGCCACCAAAGACAAACAAGTAAGCCAAAGACGACGGTCTGATTCCCAGGCCCGTCTGCAGAGAACGAATGCAGCTTGCAGAGATCTTCACTTCATTTCGTACCCTTTCTCCAGGAAGACTCTCACTGCCTTTCCGAGCGGCGCGGTTCCGTAGCATCCAAGGCCGGTGGCACTAACGCCAGCACCTTTCTTGTCAGCTCAGCCCTGCGATCCAAAACATCGAACGTCCGTGAAAAGCCGAAAAACAAAACAACAACAGCTGAAAAGAAGGTATTAGCAGGCCCAAGCAGGCTACCGTCTTCCCCCGAATACAAGGTCATTATAGCTGTATTTGAGGCATCTGTCAGTATAGATACAGCTATAATGACCGTACGTTGTATTCGGCGGGGGAAGAAGGTAGCGCAGTTGGTTAAGCAAGTAAGTGGCAGTCAGGGGGAGGTCGTGGGTTCGGTACCCAACGTCTTACTTTCGATTCCCGCGACCTCCTCCCGGGAGTATGATTCGGGTTCACCAGCAGAGATTGTTGGCTTGGCTTGGGTCTCCTGGCTGGTTGAGGAAGTAGCTCTTTCCAGCCCACGCCTGGTGTTAGAACTTAGAAGCTTGGGAGGTAGGCATAGGCCCATAACTCTGCTATCCTAACGGCGTGGGCTTGGCTTGGGTCTCTTGGCTTGGGTCTCCTGGCTGGTAGGCCCATAACTCTGCTATCCTANTAGGCCCATAACTCTGCTATCCTAACGGCGTGGGCTTGGCTTGGGTCTCTTGGCTTGGGTCTCCTGGCTGGTAGGCCCATAACTCTGCTATCCTAACGGCGTGGGCTTGGCTTGGGTCTCTTGGCTTGGGTCTCCTGGCTGGTCGAGGACGTAGCTCTTTCCATCAGTCTTTCCTGCCTGGTGTTAGAACTTCGAAGCTTGGGGTACAGAGCAGAGTTCGGTAGGTAGGCATAGGCCCATAACGTTAGGATAGCTTAGGCGTGCCCCGTATATTTAAGACTGATGGAATTCACCTTCCGACATCCAGTGGATGTTACTTGCTGAATGCATTGTACCGTAGATAGGGAAGCGGGTGAGATCTTATAGACAGATATACAATGTATATGGTTTGTCACAGCCCCTCTTTTGTTCTCCTCTTGTCCCTCTCTGCCTACGGTTTACTGGGCAGCTCTGTTTGACTACATAAAAGGTTAGCTCGAGTGAGGTAAACGAGAAGAAAATTGAGTAGAAAAAAAAACACAACTGTCCCTCCTTTTTCAAAAACAACAACAACAACGACTGTCCCTCTGTGTGAGGAGTAGACAGCTGTGTTTTTTTGCATTCATAAAAAAAAAAGGTGTTAGCAAACGAAATCTGTGTAGCATCGTGTTCGGGTTCGGTGACCGAACCCAATGTTCGTGACCGAATGCGAGCGAGCGTGTGTCCGTGCCTGCGTGCTGCTTCGTGTGTGTTCCGTGGCTATCCTGCATCGTTTTTCATCGTTTGTCGGCGTGCGCTTGCACGTTTGGAGTTGTCTCGCACCTTCGTGTTCGTCCACTTCGGCGCAGGTGTGTGTATGTGGGAATTTGCGCGTGTGCATGTGAGTGTGTGTGTTGTTTAGTGTGTGTAGTTTGCTGTTCACTTTCGTATTTCCACTTTTGGTTTGTTTTTTTCGCCTTGTCTGCACACCGTCATTTCCCTAACGACAAATCCATTTTTGGATTTCGAATGGGTGCGGACGCACGGGTCCCACTTCTCCGACGACAAATCCGACAGGTACCCAGTAGGCCGCGAAGAACTGGTAGCGCAATAAAAAATGGACGATTGTGGCCTACTGGTAGGCAGAGGTTTTTTGCGGTGGGGGGAGTGGAAGTTTAAGCATCTTGTCTTTCTTCTTTTTTTCCTTTTTTTTGGAAAAGGAGCAACCTTTATAAAACTGTGCCGGGAACCCGGCACGGAGTCCCTCGCAAAGTTCGCCGCAGCTCTAAGGCTGAGCAAGGCTCTCTGGCCAAGAGAGCCAAGCAAAGAACGGGGGTTCGGACCACATAGTTTTGGGATGATGGGCTTGGTCCAAAGGATGAGCGCAACTGACACTCAATCCTCCTGATTGGGTAGTAAATGACTACTAGCAATGGTAGTAATGAAGGCTTTTTATTTTATTTTTATATAGAGTAGTCAATACTTTGGTGGCCCCCCTGGCGGGGGGACCACAGGAAACGTTGTGTGTGTTTCAGAATTTGTAATTCTGGCCTTGCTGGTGGAAAAGGGAACTGGAAAAAAAAAAAAAAAAAAAAACTGGACCGATGCTCCCCAGAATAGGGTGGAGCTAAGACCAAGGTATTAAGCATGAGTTTTGACTCTTGAGTTATTAAAAAAGAAGTGGCGCGGCACCACCTCCTTTTCACTGGGGCCTCTGGGTGGTCACCCCGATTCAACAAGAGAGCAGCCTTCCGGGTATGGACAACCCGCAAAGGTGTTAGTCTTTTTGGGAGATCTTTGATTATCAACAATTCCATTATTTCCACTATATGGTACCAAAGAGCCATTTTTCAATTTGATCCCTCAGCCCTGCAAATGGCTAGAGGGATGGCTACCTGTTATCTTTGGAAGGAAGAAATGCATGGAGATTCCTACCTGCCCAAAGTGGTGTGGCATGTGGTCACACAGCCAAAACGGATGGGCGGGCTGGCAGTTCTCGACCCGAAATATCAAATCGGAGCCTTGCTGGCACGGTGGGTGCCTTGGGCGATTTTGGTAGGCCCGATGGTCCCCTGGAGGCAACTGGCTGATTTTGCGCTCTTTGCCGGATGGGATTGGGTAACCCTACGCTGTTTGTGGCTGGCGGTTCTTATGCCGCCTTATCTGAAGAAGGAACTTCCACATGCGATTTGGGCAGGGATATTGAGAGCATGGAAGAGGTGCTGTCCCAAACTGCCCCCCCTTCCGTTGGAGGCTGAGCGAATTTTGGTCCAACCCCTCTTCAATAACTTGGTAATCCTTGGGACCGAAGGAACCCCGTTTGTGTGTTTTGGAACTGGGGCTTTCGGCAATGCTTGGATGTCAAGGGGAGTGGGCACTGTTGCGGATATTTGGGATCTTGAACTGGCGGATTAGAAACCTCTGCATCTTCTGGCCCGCAAGCTGTCTGGACTATGGCACCAGGAAGCTCACGTTGCCTTTCTGCAACAAGCTCTGCCACCCGCTTTGGTGCAGGTGCTCCGCATTGGTCTCATCCCCCGAACCGGGAGGATGGTACAAACGGATCAACGACGATGTGTTGCCCACTGTACTGTGGAGACTGGAGGCTGCTGCTGATGGGTTGAATTCTTTTCCCGAATCAGTGCTTAAAAAGGAAATTCGAAGAAAAGGATTGGAGGTTAAACATGGCCTCTCACCTGCAGGCGACCTCATGGTCAACTGATTCGGGCCCGTACTCTTTGGGACCGCCACTTGTTGAGACGGATCAGCACATCCCCTTGCCACCATTTGCCTCCTTGCTACCTGTCTGTGTCTTCGATTGTGGTGAAGACTTGCGCCCCTTCTCATTGGCTCTCCCGTCTTATAATCTCTCGGTGGACCCTCAGGACTGGGCGTGTCATCATTATCCTTCGCGAAACAAGAAAACGCCTCTTCCTCCTTACACCACGCGAATGGGATATCAGTTGACAAGACCCGTTGTGGATGTCAGTTGGAATGTTGCTAAACGATGGATGGATGGCAACAGGTTGGATAGCAGACTCCCTCCAACGACTGGTGCAAGCGCTACCTGCCTTTTGTAAACTGTTACTCGGCCTGTCGATGGTGAAGCATTCCAGTTTTCTGTGGCTGATCATGCATTTGGCAGTTCCGACAGGACAACGGTGTGCAGCAAGAACCTCCAAAGCCACACCTTTGTGTGTTGTCTGTGCCGGAACAAGAATAGAAGACATACAACACGTCTGCCTGTGTGAATACGCGCATGGCCTATGGGACTGGTGGAGATCCGGTGCAGTGCCTATCCCTGGAGCGACGACACCATGGACATATGACTTTGTGCTCCTAGGGGTCGCTGCCAGGCGTGAAAAGCTGGACACTGCTGTCGCATATTTGGAAGAGTCCCTGCGAGGGGCGATTCTGTGGACTCTATGGAACCTCAGGAATTCGGCAAAATACAGAGGGGAGAGACTTACCCACCCGATGGTGCGTGCAGAAGTGAAATATGCTTGCTATAGAGTTCATGCTTTCCACAGATTGGTCGCTGACAGTACAAAACAGGGGTTTCAGCCAAGAGCGATTAAGAAATATATGGCCCGCTGGTACTGCTGTCGGGACTAGGTGACGGTACAGACGCATCATGACAAAATGCCCAGCCTGGTGTTCCCTGGGTTCTTCATCTGAGGCATTCCGCACGTTCTATTTGCCTTGTTGCTGGTGTTCTGTGTATAGTATGACAGAAGGACACGTGCTATGTTTTGTTTTTTGAAGTCTTTTTTTTTTTTTTGCCCGGATTACTGTCAAGCATCTGGGCTCTTCTTGAGAGCCTCAGGGGCTTTTGTAGTTTCTCTTACGCCTCCCTCTCCTTCCAACTACTGCATTCTGATATGAAGTGTTCTGCTTTCTTAGCTTCTGGTAGGATTGTGCCAACGTGCGGAGGCTCTGGTCGGATTGCCTCTGCTACCTTTGTTAGTTTTTGTTATGTTTTCTTCCCTTCTGACTCAGGGACAGGTTTGGTTTAAATGGCTGTTAGCTGGACTTGTGTCAAAGTGTTGAGATTCTGCTTTTTGCGTTGTTTTCTGTTTCAGTCTTGCATTTGGCTTTAGCTCGCAAGTTTCTTTCATAGCATAGTAGAATCTGCTGTGGATATTCTGCAATATTTGTCTTTTCCTGGGGTCACTGTGACCTCCCCTCTGGGTTCGGCTGGTGATGCCGTCCCACTGGGGGAGCACAACAACATTGTTAAGGGACGCTGGACCCTGTTCCTGGCTTGCACATAAAAATCTTCTTCTCCAAAAAAAAAAAAAAAAAAAAAAAAAAAAAAGGTTCACTGTTCAGTTTATTTTTCTGTATAACATAGCTTTTTTTTTTTTTTTTGTGTGTGTGTGTGTGTGTGGCACCTACGTTGCGACGTGTACTCACCCTCGTACGAGTACGGAATCTCCTGTACTCGTACGCTACTCGTACGCTAGGGGCCTGTACGACTTTGTCTTTTCCTTCTCAAATTATAATAAGAATCTGCAGACGACGCTCAGCCAAATCTTGCTTGTTTTGTGCTGTTGCAGCACACATTGTTTTTTTTCGGATTTTTTTTATGACTCTTTTTTTTTTTAAACCCCGTACGGGTGCGTACAAGTCGTACGGGTTCCCGACCTGTACGCTTCGTACGGAAAGGCCCCGTATGTGTATGTTCAGTAACGTAGGGTGGCACCTTCCCTGTTCCTTGCACCGCCGGGCCGCCCGGGTAAGGCCGCCTGGAAAATCCGGGTGCCCCGGGCGGCCCGGCTGGTAGCCTAGCTCTTGAGTTAAAAAAAAAAAAGCATGAGTTTTGAGTTCGAAGTTTGAACTTTTATTATTATTATTATTTTGTTTTTTGAAAATGGATTTTTTACAAAGGCTGGAAACCAGGTCCAGGCTCCAGCTTCCCTTTGAGTCAGTCTTGAAGCAATCAGATTGAGAAAATAATATTTAGGGGTTACCTCCGATTTACCTCCTGGTTTCTACTTTTCTTTTCCTGCAAAAAAAATTGGCATATGGGTAGAAAAATAGAAATAGTAGAAAGACTACGGTCTTTCCCCAAATAATACCATTATGCCTACACATGCAGCAACTTCCAGTCTAGATGCAGCAATAATGACTGTACGTTGTTCTATAGGGCGGGGTAGACGTGTAGAAAGGCTTAGAAAGCAGGAAACAGTAGTGACTGACCTGCATGCAAGAGGTAGGCGTTCCCGGTCCAGCATCCCGACAACGTGCAGGCAACCATTATTGGCATGCACTGATGAGGCCTCGTCATCATCATCATCATCATCAGCAGCAGCAGCAGCAGCAGGAGTAGTGCTGCGCATTACCTTGTCTTGCTCGTGTGGAGCTGCCTGGGAGACGACAACGGGGAGCTGCCGAAGACCGCGGAGCGCCATTAGGCGCTGCGCTGTCCTTAGGTTCATGTCTGGAGAGCAGGTCACCACTCGCCTTCCTCTCCCAGTTTCTCTTGGCCATGTTGCTATGGTTGCCACTGGCAGCGTCGAGAGGTCCTGCACAACAGTGACAAAACCGACCAAATACACGCACATTGCACATCAGGAATCCCACCACACACACCTCATCAGCATGGCACAAGTTGTAATGAGAGACATCTGACGCGCAGTGTTGAGTGAGTGAGGTACTGCACAATGACCTTGGACACAGGCTACAGACTTGGATGTAATCTACAGAGTCTAGACTCTAGAGTCTATAAGACAAAAGAGACACAGCCCTTGCACTTTTGGCAGAAGTAACTAACACAACCGAATCCATGCACACGGAAAAAAAAAAAGAAAAGAAAGAAAATCCATGCAGACGATGAGTCGCACCGCACTCATTGCATCGGCAAGACACACGTTGCAATTAGAGATCCGAAACTTAGTGTTTGGGAGAAATCCTGCAGCACAATGACCTTCGGGCCTGGCTCCACTGCACAACACTCTACATGCATTTGGACATTTCGTCGACCAAATACATTTAACTCATCCGAATGCACGTGGTCTACAAAGTGTCCAAACATTCATGTAGTGTGTTATGTAGTGGAGCGAGCCCCTTGGACACAGCCTGCACTTCCCCTACCATTGATCTTGAAGTACAGCCAAGTTCTAGACTCCCGACAGGAATCCTGCCTAATCACTATAGTGTCTTCCCCCCCAAACTCAACACACCCCCTTTATGGCTGTACGGAACTTGGAAGATTGCTTGTATACATTCATTATGTGGGTGCGTTATGTTCGCGGAAAGACGGTAGTGTGACGTGAACATTGTGAAGTTTGGGAAACAAGCAAGAATCAGGAACAGCAGCATTGCACGTAGAGTGGGTTCTTGTAACTTCTGTATGTAAGGGACATTGGACCCACTTTCCAGCTTTTTATTTTATTTTATTTTTATAGCTTTTAAGTTTTAACAAAGTTCCTCTTCTTTATTTTCCCTTTTTAAGTTTTTTTTTTTTTTTTTTTTTTTTTGAATGAATGAATGAATGAATGAATCATGCCAATAACAGAAAACTTGAAAAAAGTACTAGTTACAAAGGTGAAAGGAGAATATCATGGCTACGATCCGGACGTCCGGACCACCGTCCAGACGGTCTGGATTCAGTCCGGACTCCAGACGTCCGGTCTGGAAGGTCCGGATCTGCCAAAATTCGAGGAAAAAAAAAAAAAAAAAAAAAACGATCCAGGACCCTTCCCCATTGAGGGGCCAAGCCCCCAAAATTGTTTTGGGGGGTTTTCAGGCCCGTTTATGCTTTTTTGGGGGGTCCGGACATGCTCTCTCTCTATAATA